CCTATGTTGAAATGCACACCTTGAACACACTATGTTGGAGTGGTGGATGAACTTTGGGTATCATATAGATAGAAGAAAATTTTATTCAAGAAATGCGTCCCAACAAGTACTGCGATTGGTGGATAGACTTTACAGTCACTGCCCTGGCGTGGAAACTTCTGGAGTACCGCCGCAGCGAGGGTGCGATAGGCAGAGATGGAAGATAACAAATCACGACTCGTACTATTCGTTGCCCGTTTTCATGTATGTTGAACTATTGAACTTCGACGTACTATGTTGGAATGGTGGATGAACCTAGGGTATCATATAGATAGAAGAGATTTTCTGTGAGAAATGTGTCCAATCGCTAACTGCAATTGGTGGATGGGCTTTACACTCGCTGCCCTGGCGTGGAAACTGTGGAGTACCGCCGCAGCAACCCATCATAATTCGAGTTGCTGCAAAATGGAAACTCCTTGGCAACTTCGCCTCGACCTTGCTGTGGCTGGAAAGCAAGTACCTATGGGTAATAACGAACCAAAATTATTAATCAACGGATATTTTGTTGCGGACCGGACGCCGCACATGTCATCCATTAATTTAACGGCAAATAACGGTGAAGAAAAAGTGAGAGACGGATTCTGCGGACGGCAGTATGGCAAATAGCGAACTGGATATTACCGGACGAATATCACACTCAGTTTTACGGACCGGACTTGACGGACCGGACGGCACCCGAGTGTGGCCACCTCTAATGCAGCCATCTCAAGAGAAAATCAAAGCGATAGTGGAATGGCCCATACTGCAGGGAGTTCGGGATGTCAGGTCGTTTTTGGGGTTAGCCAATTTCTACAGGCGATTTGTTAAAGGGTTTTTGACCATTGCATACCCTCTGACAGATTTGACCAAGGAAAAGAAACTATGGCATAGGGGAAAAGATGAGGACCATAGTTTTGCACAACTCAAAGTGGCTTTGACGACAACGCCAATCCTCATATTCCCATACTTTGACAAAATGCTTGTGTTGACCATGGATGCCAGTTTGGTTGCTGTAGGTGGAATCTTGCATCAGGATCATGGAAAGGGTCTCCAACCGATTGCGTATGCATCAAAAAAATTGAATTCAGTGGAGATCCGATACTCGGCATATGAAAAGGAATTATTGGGTATCGTATGGGCAGTGGGACAGTGGCGTCATTTTCTGCAGGGATGCAGGTTTGTTATTCAGATTGACCACAATTCTCTACGACATTTGCCCAACCAGCCCAGCGTCCACCATTGTATTTGCAAGTGGGTTGGCATTCTGCAGAGTTACGATATTGACATCAGGCATATCCTAGGCCGGAAGAACCCAGCAAATGCCCTTACGCGACAGAGGTGGACAGATGATTAAAAATTGAGCAGCACCACAAAGGAGGAGGACAGCAATCTGGCAAGAACCTTACAGTTAGGTGAGAACCCCTCAGATCAAGACATCCAAGCTGCATTCTATCAATTGTTTATTGAGAAGAAGGAAATCGGTTCATCTGTAGTATTGTCATCAGTGGAGAGCAATAATGGAACTTCTATACCATTGGCACAATGTTTGGTCACCAGGACCACTCTGGACATTGATTGTCGACTCCAAGACAGGATGATGGAATTGATGGAACAGGAAACTCCATACTCGGAGATTTTGCAGGAAATTGATGAAGCGTTGCTCACTGCTCCAGAGGTGAGCCGAGGTCAAGAGAAGTATAGGGTAAAGCACTGCTCGTTAGTTGTCCACTGTAGCGACTTCAGTGATGAAGACCAATATTGGAAAATTGTGGTACCAGACCACCATGAAGTCAAGAAGTTGCTACTTTAGGAACTCCATGATGTTCCCTATGCTGGACACCCAGGTTATTTGAGGACATTACACACTGCCAAGGGAGGTTTGTATTGGAGAGGAATGGCAGGTGATATCAGAGAATATATCCTATCGTGTCTAGTCTGTCAACTAGAAAAGTCTGAGTATCAACGTCCACATGGTGAATTACAACCATTGAGAGTGCCTGAACAAAAGTGGACAAAGGTGACTTTGGACTTCATTACCAAGCTGCCAACGACCTAATGTGGTAACGATGTTGTGCTTACAATGGTTGATAGGGCCACAAAAATGGTGCATTTTGTACCCTGCAAGGAAGAAATTTCAGCATCTGAAACTGCATTTTTGTATTAGCAACATGTGGGAAAACTTCATGGATTACCCAAGGCACTGTACTCTGATTGTGATCGCAGATTTACTAGTGCTTTTTGGCGAAGCCTTTGGAAATTGGTTGGTTCTGACTTGAGATTCAGCAGTGCCTACCACCTACAGACTCAAGAGTTGGTAGAAAAAATGAACGCAATCTTTGAACAAACTCTATGTTGCACTATACATGAATTGGGAAAGCCTCGTGATTGGGATTCATTGGTACCCATTGTTGAATTTAGTGTGAATAACCAGCCAAATAGGAGCACAGGGTACACGCTTTTCTTTTGGAATTATGGATACCACCCAGTGACTCCTAATGAGCTGATTAGAGGGACTGATAGTTCTCCTGTTGAGATAGTAACTAGCTTCGCTCAGCGCCTGCATCGGACTTTCACCAAGGCACGGAACAATCTCCACCGGGCGAACGAGCAACATAAGAAATATTATGATCGTCGTCACCGCCCTGAGACCTATGCAGTGGATCAACTTGTTCTGCTATCCACTACGAACCTTCGGATGCGTGGAACACCGGCAAAGCTGCGGAGACGCTTTGTGGGGCCCTTCCATATCATCGAATGGATTGGTACCCAATCCTACCGATTGCAGCTTCCTAATGACTGGCATATCCATGACGTGTTTCATGTGAGCCTACTCAAGGCATGGCGTGACAGTGATTGGGATCAGTGTGAGCAGGCTCTTGTTCCGGAAATTGAGATGGCGGATGACGAGTACGAAATAGAAAAGTTGCTCCGGTGGCGATATGTTCGAATAGGAAATAGGAGGACTCGTGAGTTTCTTATCTTGTGGTTTGGCTGGCCGATTGAGGACGCTACTTGGGTACCAGAGACAGAAACTAAACCTCCTGAGGATATACCAATGATGATTGAGAGGGACCAACCTATAGAGTATACGGGTGGATTGAGTGGTGGTTCATGATTTGTTTTTCGGGACGAAAATACTTAGAGGGGGAGTGATTATCAGATTATGAACGGTCAGGACAATTTATTACCAGATTATGAAGTATATGGGTACAACGACAGTACACTAAGGCACCGGTGTGGGTACCATGACACGGATTGTTTCCGCACCGGTGGCCCGCGAGCTTACCACCGTACTTATGTGGTGAGTGCGGTGTAGTAATGAACCTTTCTCGTGCAAGCAAACTGTGCCCGCGACCCGACCCCGCAACCTCGGCCAACCTGCCCGCGAGCTCGCCTGTCCCCGAGCATACCGCCACGAGCGCTGTGCCCAACACGCGCAGTCCAACGATTCAGACCCGGCGGAGGCGGAGCATCGAGTGGCTAACCACCACGCGCATTGAAGGCCCCCTCGCGACGGTGGGGGCCTAAAGGGAAGCCGACACCTAGCCTCCATCGGGCTCCCTCAAGTCGGCCATCAGCTGAATTTTCGAAATGCTCCACCATCAACGTCCTTTCCATCGTTGGCCTCGCCGATGGGCAGCAGGTCTCAAGGTGTTAAACGTGTTGCACACCATGGGGACATGAACGCGGAAAGCAACGACAGGCTCCAGGGTCGCTGGGCCCTACGCCACATTGCGCTGGGCTTCCTGGGCGTGTGAGTAGACTACTTACAGGGCAGTGGCAGCGCCGCCTGTATGTAGGGAATCGGGCATTGTGATGGCTGATGTAGTTGAATGATGGGTCTGTGATAGTCAGGGACCAGCCTAACGTGTCCCTCCGGGATAGCTCGGTTCCCCACTCGCACTCGTAGAGACTCGCAGAGTCCACACTTGGGGTGACAGGTGGACACGCAGCCCGAGGGGCACTCAGCTAAGATTCCCTGCTTGGGGCTTCGCCCCTGGCCTCGGCCAAGATTCCCAGCTCGGGGCTTCGCCCCTCGCCGGGAATCTGGCCTTGAGCCCCTCGGGATGTGTGTCCACCTATCACCCCAAGTGCGGTCTCATGCGTGTCCTTACTCGTGCTCGTAGGGAACCTCACATTGTTGTGTTATCGGTTTTGGGGTCGTGCGCTGTGCATCTGAAGAGCGCAAGAATTGTTTCCCATGACATGGCAGACAACATGGGTTGTCAACACACTTGTTGGCCTTGTGCCTAAGTTCGTGTCAATGATGACAACTGCACAAAGAAGGGCTCCATGTTGACATGAGATTGAACTTGTCTTCACAAATCATGCAATACCGGTGTTCGGTTCTGAGCAACTGACCACGATTTGAGTGCGCAGCGAAGCTGCATGGAGCGGGCAACATTTTGCAATGGCTGGGTGCTGTGCGCACCTTTTGTCAGCTCGCAGAGGCTCTGGGGCCAAGGTGGTGGGATTCTGGGACAAGATGGTGGAATCGCATGAATCCATTGGGACATCTCATCTCCAAAGTCACTTACATTCGGCTGGCGGCCCATCCCACCATTATGCTGCCTGAACAATCCAAGCCGTGAATAAATTTGTGGCGATTGACTTGGCAGCGCCAGCAGAAATAGAAAATTCGGGAACACCTTGAGAACGGCGACCAAGATGACACTCACCAAGGAGCCTCTCTTCCCCATGGACCCACACATTCCTTGAAACTACCATATGCGCCCTCCCAAGGGTGCTTGTGAGGCAACTCGAGACTTCATGTAATCCCAACTTATACGCCAATATATACAGCCATATACACCTATATATATATAGGTGGATTGATCTACCTCCCTTGCCTTGCTCAAGTCCCCAATTGCATGCACACGAGGCTCCGCCATGTCCAAATATGAGAAGGGATTCATAGCAAACCAGCTGCAATGCTCATCTTCCCGCACTCAGACTTTCTACCCAGTAGCACCTGCAGCAACCTGGCCGTCTTCCTCCGCGCTCTCCTCCTCGCCATCCTCCCGGGCACCCAGAATGGCATCCTTGGCCGTCTTCCCCTCCGGCAGGGCCAGCGCCACCCTCACCAGCCCGCATTCGAACAGCGTGGGGTCCCCCACCTCCACCTCAGGACCGAAGTACGTCCGCCCCATGAGGAATCCGTCCTGAACCTCCCGGAACTCGTCCACGATGAAGTCGTTGATGGTGTCCGGGAAGCGCGTCACCCACGAGTCGTTGCCGTCCACGAAGCCAGGGTCCAGGCTGATGGTGCCCGCCAGGGCCTTGGGATCGAAGCTGAAGTCGCTGAGTAGGACATTCCTCACGCCGCCGTCGCCGCTGAACGTTTTGCCGATGAAGCCGGAGATGATGAAGCTGAGGACGGCCCTCTGGGTGCCGGAGAGGCCAAAGTCGTCCACGCTGCCGGAGTCGATGAGGAAAGCTACCGGCGCAAAGGGAGCTAATGAGGGAGATCCGCCCGTGGTGACAGAGTATGGGGATAATGCAGTTTTCAGTTCTATGTCGCTGAGGGCACGCGCAACAATTTGCTATGCCGCCAGCAACACAGGGATGTCATTGACGTCTAATCTCCAGATCAATGGGAATTGACTAGAGGCAGCTTGCTACTAGATGACGGCTTGACCTCAGCGCGGAATTCAATCCAGACTGGTTTCTGATGCGAAAAACCTTATCGGTTTCGACGAATTTGATTACCGCCCCAGCCACCAATCGTGTTGCCAGTTGCGTTATGCACGCCACACTTTCAACGCCAATGCGAGCGCCGGCGTCTGTAAAGACTTAAGCACTGGCACGTGGAGCCTAGCCCATCCCTGTTTGCTAAAGCTGTTGAGTATCCAATCAGTTGCCATTGCTTTGATGCAACGAATTCCATTCTCGACATGTTTAATTTCGGTAGCCACCTTGGTAGGTCCCGTTTGGAGGTGGCCCGGGCGGCGTCTCCTTGAAAATCTCGACTCGGCCCTCCAAGCCGGCGTCAATCATCCACTCTTTGAAATCTTCAACGCCTTTGAGAGTCGGAACTCCATTCTCTCCTGCGCGGAAGGCACGCAACAGCAGACGCTGGCAATCGATGTTGAGACATTACATAACGATGCATTCAGTGCTAAAGCATTAGGGAAGAGTATAAATGTGCTCACATGCTATTTGTTGGCCACCTTGGCTGCGATGGCCCGATTTTTCGTCGCATTACAATGCATGGACGTGAAGCTGTACTGATATGTGAAGCTCGAGAAAATGACTGTTACGTTGGACGATAAGTATCTGAAATGATGGAATTTCCCGGCAATGAACGACCATCCTCCAAACAGTGCACTCAATGACAGAAAATGCGTCGTACTGTACACTGTTCACATTGATTGATGTGCTGAAGCTGTGGCTGCAGCGCTAATTCACGTGGTTAATTGCATGTATAATTGGCTGTAGCACTTGGCGACCCGATACGAGTGTCGATTCTTAGCGCTTGGAACTGCAACACCGCCAGTTTCTGAAGCTTGCACAAGGCGTTCTAAGGGTTGGCCAAGCGCTCAAAATGATGATCCCCGTACTTGTGATCGATATCTACATGATGGGCGACACCCCCTTGGGTTGTTACGAAAATTTGGTGCCAAGACTGATTCCTGAGACGGCGACAATGAGCCCTCTGGCAGAACGCGGCACTGTGAGGCAACTTCTGCCATGGAGAGTCGATAACTTGTCTGAAGTGGTTTTCCCACCTCGTACGTTCGGCGCACCACTCACCCTCCAGGCTGACTGATGAGAGCTGCTGGGGCATGGCGAAACACGGACACGGACAGCAGTGCGACAGATCAACATGGACGATAAGGGACGCCACGGACGGCATTGGACATTAATGGACAATCTTGAGGGAGACATGGGGCCAGCCACGCACAATTAGCACAGACACAAGCTGCGAACAACTGAACTTCGGCGCGAAACAAGGTGTGATGTTCTACACCGGCCCCTTCCCCGGACGCGGCAGCGCGCGCAGGGCGCCCTGAATGACCGCCGTCTTCGCTGCTGTCAGCCATCACCCAGCCGAAGCATCCGCGTGTCGGCGGCGCCGACCGCATGCGCTCTGCGGACCGCCGACGCCTGATGCCCACCTCAAACTGGCGCACTTCTTCGCGCAACTCTTAAAAGCACCGGGCCCCAAACCCGGTACCAAATCCTCACCCACTAACAGCGTCCGACAACAACCCTTGCCCACAAACGCGACGCCGGCAACCGCCAGCACACGGCGGCACCGGGGCTTGGGAAAGCGATATAGGCACGGCGCTTTTCGCCGTGCTGCTCTTTCCGCCATGCGCACCTCCTTACCTGTGGCGTTCTGCAGCAGTGACCTCGCCTCCGCGGGCGCCAGCGCGCACGCCAGGAGGGCCAGCAACGCGATGGCACCGCTCTCCGCCATGGCGTCCACCCGACGAGTCTGAAGCGGCGAGCCAAATTCAGGTGAGTCTGCCGCTCCCCGCTTGACAGATTTCGACCCCTCCGTGAGGAATTTGCTTGTCATTCTCCAGGTTGTCGGTCCGTGTGCTCCAGGATCGTTTGCGTCATGGGGCGTCGATTCGCGGTCGGCCAGACACACAGGGAAGCAGGTGCCGCGCGGGGTGCACGCTCCCACATGCGCAAGGCGCGGTTGCAAAGTCATGGGGAACGCCGCGATGCGAAAACCCAAATCGGTCGACTGGAGCGTTGGCACTGTCCACAGGGAATGCTGCCCGTGGGCATGTGCTCGCCATTTTCGAGTCGCTGCGACGACACAAATGCGCCTCGATTCGCTCTGCGCGTCCACCCGCTGCTCTGTAGCACAGCGGCCACGAGCCGCTCGTGAATAGCTATTCACACGCTCCTATAGGAGCGGCACTTCCCGCGCCGGTGGGCAGCGCAAGCCATCCGCCCTATCGCGCGCTCGACGCTTACGCGTCCGTCGATCGCTGCACCTTGCGCCCCCCAAAGTGGCGGTGGGCGCTGGAGAGCGGGCCTAAAGTGTCAGGCCGGAATGGCCGCAGCCGACAAAAAACCCGCAGCACAAAACGGCTGCCGTCGCCGCGCCCGCGGATATGTCGAAGGCCAAAGCGCCGTGAGTGCCTTCGTGCAGCCGCACCGGCACAGAATTATCCCAAGGGCTGCCGCCACCCCCACCTTTGGTTTGCGCAAGAGGGCCGACGCAAGTTTGCGAATTGCGAGGGAGTCGCCGCCGCTCGGCACCTCCGCTCCCATTTATGGTTCGTGATGGACAGCATGGCAGTGGTCACTCCCCGGTTTGCCCCCCTCGTCAGGTTTGTCACATGTGTGGTGGCCACGTTGCGCGGAATGTGTGCAAATGAGAGCTATTCATGCTGATTTGTAAGTTCGATCACGCATCGGTGTGGCTGCCAGCGCGTCGGCCAGCAGAATTCACAGCCGATTTCCGGCGATCCGCCACAGGCTCGGCCGGCTCGGACAGGAAGAACAGCTGGAACATGCCCCGGTTACCAAGCCCTTTTGGGCGTGGCAACTGCCGTGTACAGGCACATTTTGTGGAAGACTCGTTGCCGCCAGTAAAAATCATGCGATACAGGACTACGTATGGGCACGGTAAACTGCTCAAATCCTTTGAGTGCATTTGTCACGTACAAATGAACAAACACTGCCCTTGCACCTGGAAGGCGATGTCGGTCATGAGTCCCAGCCCAGTGTTGCTGATGTTATTGCACGGTACGGCAAACTGTATGTGACACCCTTTTCATCCCAAGGAAACGACGCATACAGCGCCTGTGCATGCGATCCAGCCACCGTTGTTGTGAGCAGTGAGAAACTGCCGCTGAAACATTGCAAGAGCATGTCTGTTTAAATCCCCAAACTCCGTTTCAGGCAGACTGTTGTGGCAATGACCTCCGACAATAGCCATTTTCCAGGGTACATACCCACAGCGTCATGAATGCGCGCCAGCAAGCCACTTCCATGTGGATTTCGACGCATTGAAATGATCCCATCCTGGCCGAATGCGGCCATCACGCAACCCCTGGCAACTTTCTTTCACAACAAACCGCCCCTCCGAGGCTACGCGAACCATGGGAGGCTCCTATATTTCGTCCGGGGTCAGTTCCCCTCAACGTCCTTTCCAGTCCACCTCAACAAACCCATGCACACGCGACATGTCATCCATTCTTCGCCATTCCTCTCCCATCCCACATCCTCATCCCCATCCATAACATCAGCCTGTCATCTCCGCCAAAACGGCCAAAACGGACGCCTAACTCCTCGCCTCCAGAATTACCTCCGCGGCAGTCATCCCCTCCGGCAATTCGTACACCAGCCTCACCAGCCCGCACTCGAACAGCGTGGGGTCGCCCAGCTCCACCTCAGGCCCAAAGTACGTGCGCCCCATGAGGAACCCGTCCTGCACCTCCCGGAACTCGTCCACGATGAAGTCGTTGATGGTGTCCGGGAAGCGAGTCACCCACGAGTCCTTTCCGTCCAGGAACCCAGGCGCAAGTTCGTCCACTCCGGCCAGCGCCTTGGGGTCGAACGCCCCGTTGTTGGCCAAGACGTTCGTTACCTGGCCGTCTCCGCTGAACGTCTTTCCCAGGAACTGGGCGATGACGAAGCTGAGGACGGCTTTCTGCGCGCCGTTCAGGCCAAATTCGTCCACGTTGGGGGTGTCGGAGTAGAGGAAAGCTGCGAGTGCGGAAGTTGCGGTGAGATTGCTGAAGGAGGTCGCATAATTTTGAGTGGTCTGAGACCGCGCCTCGCGGGCTCCACAGCCATGGCGTAATCATGGACAAAAGGGACATATGTTATGCAGATTCGGTCGTGTTCGAGGCAGCCTTTAGAATACCATGCAGGGCAGTGAATGCGCTTCCGTTGGAGGGGAGTGCGGGCAAGTTGTGTGGGCGAAACTCTGATGCTCGTATAGCTGTTCAGTTCCGCCATTTAGCGGAAGAGCCACCAGGTGGGTATCTCTTTTATTGGAAAGAATCCGGACACTTCGTATAATTGGATTCTTCTGTTAAATCCTCCCAACCTGTTGACAACCGCGTATTGGTAGTTTCAACGGCGCTAAATATGAACCAATCGTGTTAGCCCATTATGTTCTAGCTAACATTTCCGTGAAGGTTTTCAGAGCCACAACCGTGAACTATGCGGAGCAGTGGAACAACATTCAATCGTACACATATTTGTACCGTCGCACGAACGAGGCTCTAGCTGAACTCCGGCTGTATTCATGTTTGGCTTAAATGATATTTCTTACATCTCCCCCAAAACGACAAACAGTTGAAGTGGCGCATTCGAGTATTTGAAAATGCTGTCCATCTACTTGCATCAATCAACAACGCCCCTGTGAATCAGCAAGTTTAGTCGTTAGTGAATATACTTGGCTAATCGCGTGCTATCATTTTCCGATATTGCAGTGCCTCATATGGAAGACCCGGGTTTGCACTGCGGGTTTGGATGCCGCAAGGTTCCGAAGCGGACTCTTGAAATTTCCTGAGGAATCGAATAGCAATTGCAGGGGCTGCATCGTCCCTGTTTCTTTTGGATAAGGTATTCATTCTGATAGTCAAAAGTCAGCAAACGGTACCTCCTCTTTGGCCCTCTCCACCTTAACTTATGTGAGATGCATGTGACAGATCCACCCTTCAAAACATCCACGAGTGTCGCATGGAGTCAAGCGTACTCGCTCGCAAATTCTCACCTTGATAAGTCCCATTCGGTGATGGGCCAGGCTTCGCATCGCCAAAATTTCCGGCCATCAAAGGTCCGGCGTCCTTGGGGCCACTCTCCTGCCGCACGTCGTCAGGCGCGAACCTGGCTCGGGCGCAGAGTGCGGCGCCAGTGCGTGGCCACAAACGCACGGCGGCGTTTCCGCCAATTGCACACGCAATCAACGCGGATCAGGACATGCGATATGGGCGGCGCCTTGGGTGCGATGTGCCACTGGAAAATCGCGGCCGATGAACATGCTGCACTCCTCATGCAAGCGGACGCCCCCCCGCACTGCGCTTAGCAGTTCCCGAGCCGCTCCATCCCCACCAATCGGCCGAGAGGG